TCGTAAAAGTGAATGCTGAACGTAATTGTTGGTGAAGATGAAATGAAAATTCAGTGGTGGAGCGAGGAGGGTCTAGGACTCTAGTACTTGCTTCAAAACTTGCAAGAATTGAGTGCTGCTTTTATGGCATGCTTGGACAACGACCCTGAAAACCCACGTCAATGCACCAATAACCCTAGCTTCACCACTGTAGAAAATCTCATCACTTACACAAATCAATACACAAAGAGCGGCAAGAAGAAGTAAAAACACAGCAATTTTTAAAAATCTTCAATTTTCCTTTCATTCCGATTACTTAAGAAATTTCCGGTTATTTTAAGTGAAATTAAATCGAAATTAAAAACCCATCAAAAACAGAGTTTTTCCTCATTTAAATTCCACAGACTTATTGCCAATATTTTTACTGGGCGTTGGCACTTTTTAATAGTTTTTTTTTCTCCATGTCAAAGTGAATTGCTAATATGATGACGCGCTAAATACATGCATACACGTACACAGCAATAAAAATTGGAGAGAAGTGCACGTGAGTTGTGAGATGATCAACAGTTGGTTTCATTTGCATTTGTATTATTGTTTGGATGGTCAATGATTTATATGGAGATGTGATGAGTCATGATTTGAATATTTAAATAATTGAAGATTTAGTTTGGATACTAGGTGATGTCTAAAATAGAAATGTTAATTAAAATGGAAGCTATACTTGACATATTTTCATTTATGTGATAATTTTTAATTAGCATTGTTGTGTGGATTGGGGTATTTATGACATTGGGGCATGACGGCATTTTTATTAAGTTGCGAAAGGGAAAATTTTTGTTTTTAAAGAAATAATTTATTTTGTAATTTTTTGATTTTTTCAGATTTTGTTTAGATTTTTAAATTGATTTTTTTAAGATTTTTATGTTTTATATCCGAATATTGATAGGATAAGGGGTCGTTTACTTATGACGTCCGAAATTAACGGTCATTTTTCAAGAAAGAACAATGGATTTCCTGGAATAACTTTTGTTCTTTTCTTGTTGACCACCCCCCCCCCCCGTGACGTCATAAGTGAACGGTTCCCAATCAGTATTAATCTTTTGAATTCTGCAGTTCGTTGCATTCTATATCCAAAAATCCAATTGATTATTAAAACTAAGTGTCTGAAACTAAAATTATAAACAATTTTCATCGATTGTCAAACCTGACCCCCCCCCCCACTCTCATCCCTTCATTATCCCGTGTTTTTTTCCATGATCCCAATTCATAATTGATGCAAAATTACCAAACAACCTTCAATCAACTATAAACTTAATCTTCTAGAATCTATAAGTTCATCATAACTTCAATCAATTCATCATGAAGCTCATCATCACAACACATCATTTTCTCATATCCACAACCTTTAAAGCCACCAACATTTCTCTCTTTAAAACAACTTTTTTTTACTTCTTCTTCTTCTTTCATCAACAAAAATTCTTTTACACAGACTTCAATATAAAAGGTAGTCGCGTCCAACACAACATTGATTGTTTTGCACGTTTTTTTTTGTTATTTCTGAATTTAATTTTTTTTTTCTCATTCCACTACAGAAACTATCGAAATAGCTTTTTTTGTATACAGCTAAGGTATCTCATGGTGACGTCACCTGCACATATAAAACTGCTTTCAACACATCTTTGATCGTTGTTTCACAAGTTTTTACTTTTTCTTATAATATTTTTAACAAATAAAAAATGGCAGACAATCAAGTGAATTTTTGTGATTTTACCAACTGATTTTTTATTATTTTAGGTATCGATTATGTCACTTGTTGATTGGTGGTTGACTTTATTTTATCGGAAGCAGCTTTTGTTATCTTATCACTATAATTAGCACCAATCATAAAGCACAGAACAATATTCCAATAGACACCGCATATGGAAGTACACACCTAGTTTTGCGGATGATCTTAATTTGATCATAAAACTTACATTTTCACATAAATTTATGCCTCACAAAAATTAATAATTTTCTAAATATTTTCAAATTTTTATCATTTCATGCGTAAAATGATTGTCACAAACGCACAATGGAGCACAATGTAAAATAACTCTTTTAGTTCCAGCAACGAAAAAAAAATGTTCAACCTTTTTGCTCGAACGTCAGAAACGAAACTAAAAGCACAAAACTATGATCAAATTGGTGAGCGTGATCTGTTAAACACAATTTTTTTTATTTGGTTGTGTAATGCCTCAACTTTTTTGTTTGTTCACAATAAATATAAAGTATTAAGAAGAGAGAAGTTAAAAGAGAAACTGAAATAACTGGAAACAGAAACGACACAGACAGAAAAAAGAGAAGCCAAAAAGCTCTGTTGACTATTGCACAACGTGGTATGATTCTCATTATTGTTGAGTTTGTGTACTTTTTTATTGACGGAAATTTTTATTTTATTTTTTTCGTTGTCGATGTTTGTAAGTTTTGCATATTTTCTCCATGGTCATTAAACAGGTTTTTATAGCGTTCTTTTACATTTTATTTTGCTGCTGTCTTTCTTTCAATACAGTCATACACATTTACTGGAAGTTTTGGAAGCGGGAAAGAATTTTTTGGACTTTAGAAAATTCTGCCATCATCATTAAGTCTTTTATTGTATCTTCAATTCGCATTAGACATTTGTTATTTTTAGTGAAATGATGTAAGGGAACTGAATCTAACCTTCATAAAGTTTGGGAACAGGAATAAAATGGAGAAATTTATGGATATGTCAGGAAATGTTTTTATTCATTTTTTCCTCTTTGAAGCTTAATTGGCAATGAAGACATAAAAATATTCAATAGATTCAGGCAGTTATCAATAAAATAAAATTATTTAAGATTCAAGACATTATAACATTGCTAAGGGCTTCTTTACTGAATAACAGGGTTCCAATAATTGTATTTATTGATCACTAATCTCCAAGCACGGAAACTAGGCTGTAAACCGCCAAATACCCCCAACTTCCATACAAAAACCCCCAAATACCACCTCTTTATATGAAATACCGCTAAATACTGCATTTAAAATGTCGACTAGTTTCCGAGCCTAGACCAATCATTTCTAGTAACCAAGTTAATGTTGAAAATTCAATAATTATGTTATTAGATCCAAAAATTCCTCTTAAATTCACATAATGTGTAACTTAACTCAAAATGATACCCAAAGTCTTTGTCTCAGGTATAAAAAACGATAGAAAATGCAAAATGAGATTTGAAAAAAATATGAAATATATTTTAAATCATTCAACTGACACGTACAAACTACATCAAACCGCTTGTCACGATGTTGGAATTTTGCATTCTTAATAAATTACATCAGTCACACAAATTAATGCGGAGGATTAAAAGGGTTCGTTTGCTAGCTACGTAACGCTTTTAAGGGGTGTTTAAAAATTTTGGACTTTCCAGATTAGATCCGATCTTAAAATTTGCCATGAACTGTCATAGATTCTTCCAAAAACCACCCAATTAGCTCTCAATTGAGATTTTACGGAACAAATTTTCAATCAATTAAATATAATACACAAAAAGTCATAAAGATCAATTTATTAACTCAAAAACTGACAGCAAATCATCTAAGGGAGCCGCCCTTCAACCTCAAAAAAAATTGTCTCATTAGCAACAATCACCTTCAACAGGTTTAACAAAGACATGCCTTTAATTCATTTTAAACAAACCTAAAATTGTTTTAAAAATGCAGTTTCAAGTTGCAGCGACTAGTGTAAATGCATTTATTTATCGCCTCTCCTTTCCAAACAACTTTGTGCATGTTTGAAGTCAACATGATCAACTATTATGTACATAAGCCATGAATTTCGCAACATAAAGTACATTTTATTTAATAGTAATTTTATTTTCAATTGATGTCGCCCAGAAAGGTCAGCAAAGATCAACATAAAAGACTGTAATGATTGATTTAATTTATTAATAACATCAAAAAATGCGCGCGTTATGAATGAATGAAATATGAAATTGCAGTCATCTTGTGGGATGAGAAAGTAGATCGTACAAATATTGAATGAATGAATTTCTATTGCATCGTGATGTGGAAATAGACGATTGAATGAATGATGTCGTAAAGTATTTGAATTGCTTGTAGGAAATTTTATTTCTATGACTTCGTGCGTAATGGATTGTATATTATTTTTGAAGGCAATATAAAGTTGGAATTTATGACTTTTTTTTTTGAAATTTAATATTTTATGCATGCCTAAGAATAATGACATTTAAAGCATGAGATGCTATAAAATTTGAATATTTTATTTATGTTGGTGAATTCGAGTTTTAATTGTCTTATATGGATCTGGCTACTTATAGACTAGGATCCCTTTAATAAATTTCTAGTTACAACGGTTTGATACTATCGAAACTTACTAGATTAGTTCAAAATCAAGACTTTGTAGATGCTAAGCCCTATCCTCCTTTTTGTTCATCCTTTATTTGACTTCATTACAGGGACGTAGCCAGGAATTTGAAGAGGGAGGGGGAAGACAAAAAATTTATTTGTATGGAATTTAAAGGGGGGTGGGGGTGTGATTTTTATGATTTTTTCCATTTTTTCATAAAAACCCTAGCAAAATAAAAAAAGTTCTGTTTACGTTAGGGGATTTGTCCCCCAAATCCCCCCCCCCCTTGGCTACGCGCCTGCTTCATTAAAAATTTTACTATTCCAAAAAAAAATTTGCATCAATTCACAAATTCCATATTAATTTTATAGTATTATGCATAATAAAAAACAAGTTGATCTTTATTTCTCAAAAACAACTCGATATGTGATTGGGATCAATGCACTTTGTGAGAATCTAGATTATTTGTATATAGCCGCATTATATTTCCTCATGATTTGCATAAATTTGTTTTAAAAAACCTCACATGAGGGATACAAATTTGATAAGGATCTATGTAACTGAATCCTTGTCATGGTTGACGGTTTCACAAGCAAATAAGTCACATTCGTCCGTAAATTCCTGTACATTAATCCTATTAACATAACAAACTTACCCGTATGGCTTCAGCAACTGCTGGATTATCCAGCAGACCCCTCAAAAATACAAGATCCGTATCATTTGCCTGTGCATCAAGCTCTGTTAAATGTTCCTTCACATGTTGGAAAGCAGCTGAAATAACAACGAAAAAGAAAATTGATAAATATTTTGATTATAAAAATCTCTTTTTAATTGAGTTTTAGATTTTTTTGCGATTGAAAAAATTTCATTGAACTTTTCGGAGAAAAATGTCTGCACATTAATCGGATTGACTTCCTTAAAAAAAATGAAATAATATTTTAAAAATAATGTTTGGGGTCTATTTGAGTCCCGCTTTCAAAATTTTCAATCAGATTGAGAAATCTTAGAAACATCAGACCCCCTTTTCCTAAATGATGGACTTCATAAGTGAATTCCTCCAAAATTTATCATGCACATCAGAATTTCTTTCAACGAGAAATCAATCACGTCTATTTCCTCTCAGTACTTGTGTAATAAATCTTTATGATTTGAAGTTTGAGTTGATTTTTTGTTAAACTTAATATCCGTTGGCAGTTCTTTTACTTTCTTTTTGTGGAAAAAGTAATCATTTGCAATGATTTTTTTAAACTGTAACTCTCCTCACCCCTATGGAGCAAGCTACTCTATATAATTATTTATTTTGAAAACTCCAACTGCATTAATTGAAATTTTGGTCCAGTTCCAAAAAGGAAAAGAAAAGAAAATAGCAATAAATATTAAGATTCGACTTCATTAATGCAAATATTTTTAAAAGACCAAAATGTTTATTTTCATTAGTTAATGAATTGCAGATTTTAATAAAAATAAAAAAATTTATTTATTTTACTTAGACAAATTAAAGAAGGAAGGTCAGTAGAATGGGTTGCTCTTGGGCTTACTGGAATTAATCTTCATAAAATTTGATATTTTTATTTTATTGGGCAGCTTAAGAGATTCTACGAAAATCACAGTTTTTGGTAACGCTCGATTGGAAATCACGAGTGGGACGGGAGTGAGGAATTGCATCTGTGTCAGTTTTGGACAGGGTCTAATAATTATGTTTTTTGGACGTCATAAGTGAATGAAAGACTAGAAAAATGTGAGCAGCAATTTCATAACTGACATAGCTTCCTGATGCCAATACTGATCCACAGCTCTCCAAATCAACTCAAAACCTGCACCGCTCGGGTCATCTTTAAAATTTTCCAAGCAAACAATTTTTTACTGCCGATTGCATGCAATTCAAATTTCATTTTAAAATGTCAGCACATATAATATCCTACACAAATGCTTTCCTACATAAAATCTCCTCAAATTTCATTCTTCTTCACTTATTTTTTGTGTAGACAGTCACATATGCATTCAATGTACAGCAGTTGCATTTAAATTAGATTTCATTACAAAGTATTTCATAAGAATTATGACAAAAATATTAATTCAAGAAGGAAGGGGCTTCAGATTGTGATGAGGAATATTCTTGAGAAGGGGACGCTAAGGAAGTTCATAAGTCCACCTATAGTGTGCTGCTTCCATAAATTGATTTTAAAATATTTAATTTTTGCAGCCAAGAATGTCATTCGATACCTTAAAATTAATTTTTGATCAACGTCATTCCTAAATGACCCCAAAAAATGCATCAAGAAGAATTTTGTCATAATTTATAGTCGAAGCTTAAATGCTAAGGCGTATTCAAACGAACCGTATGTTCACAAAATTTCTAATAAATAAAGCTATAAATTAATATTCATTAACTTTACTTTCTCACATTTCGACTCAATTTAGTTCTCTAATTGACTCATATTCCACCCAATTTCAAACTATCGACCATAAAATCACAGTCCATAAAGTTATTTTTACTAAGCAATTTCACTTTATGATCAAACGCTAGTAAAACAAGTCTGATAACGCACTGTGATTCAAGACAAACCGCATGTGAAAGAGTAGCTAAAATTAACATCAAAAAGATATTTTTAGACATGAGGAAAATCATCACATTATGTGCTGAACAAACATTTTCGTCGGCGCTCACAATATTTGCATGATTAGCACCATAAACCTTAAGTCATTTTCAATTTGTTTTCATGATGAAAAAATTTTTTCATTTTATTTCTCATTAAATCAAATTATCATAAGTGTCCGTATGTCTATCATACAATATGCTATCACTTTCTCCTTCTCCTTCTTTTATCGTCTATGTTGATCCACAATTGCGTTAATTGATGACGTTTGTTTACATAACTGTCTAATTTTTTTTGTAGATTTTTGTGTATAGGAAAATGAGTGAAGAGGCGTGGATTTTTTTTATTTTTGAAATTTATGCTGATGGACTATTCAAACTGTGTTTTGAGTATGCTGCACAGATAATCATAAATATTTTGAAGCTTAGCTTTTCGAGAATGTTTTGATTATGAATAAATGTGCAGTTTTAAGACTTCAAAGTTTGAGTTTTCTTTGATTTTTAAGAGTGCTTAGGAACTGAATTTATGAGGTTTTTGATATTTTACCCGAGAAGCGCAACTTAATCGATTAGAAATCCGGCGCATGCTGGCATGACTCTAGCATGGTGTTGGTTTCGACCAGTGTTGCAAATGTAGATGTCTACACTAGATGAAGAGTGTAGATTCTTCAATAGTTTTTGTCTAGCTAAGAAACTTTCTTCATAAAGATTCTGTCTACATAAAGATTCGATGTAGATGTCTACAATTCTACATTTTTTCTAGGTCTACATCAGAAAAGAATGTAGAATTGTAGACATCTACATCGAATCTTTATGTAGACAGAATCTTTATGTAGAAATAATCTTTGTGTAGATTAGATTTTCTATCTTCATATAGAATCGATCTTTATGAAGAAATTTCTGTCTCAGAATTTATCTGATCCAGACAAATCGCCAGAATGCAACACTGGTTTCGATTTAAATACAGCTCTATGCCAGAGTCACACCAGCTTGTTGCTGGATTTCTGATTGATCAACTGACGTTTGCAATTCGGATTAGGTTCTTCGCAATTGTGGATCAATCTTCCTTGCTTAGCCACTAGAATCTAATTTTCGGACAAGAATTCAAATTCCTAACCGAAGAAATCATTAGATTTTATAAAAAGCTAGAGCTGTCACATTACTTTGCAATTTTCAAAATTTCAAGCTGTCTTCACAAAGCAATAACATTTTAATTAATCTAAAAATATCAAATTAAATGCCAAATGGCACTTAAGAGAATTTTCATACAATATTATTGAGACCATGCAATAAAAAAGTTTATGGCTTGTAAATGTGTAAGGTTTCTGGCTTTATAAAGTATTAGAAAAATTGTTCAGAATGTAACAGCTGGCAATTAAAGTGAATAATTCCTTAACAGTGGTTTTTTAGCTTCTGAGACTCAAGTTACAGCAAGCAAGTGGCCATAAAAATACAAATAATTCAATACTGTCAAATTTATGAATTTTTTGACTTCTCTTCTAATCCAAATGCTGGAAAAACTCAAAGGTAGTCAACATTTACTGAGCAATAAAAAAATCTTGGACCTAGTTTTTCAAATAAAAAATTCTTGCGAAATCTTCAGTAAAATAATTAACAACTTCCCTCAACTAATAACCCACCTTCATTTGCATGAGCTAACAATATTTAAGACCAAGAAATAAATGTCATTCCTAGCATAAACATTTCATTTCCATTAGTATGATAATAAGAGGAAAAAATCCCATTAAAAATCACGCACGTTATTACAAAATCCATGTGCCCCAGAAACTTTTCTTACTCAAATATCCACACACAAATAATTCTGCAAAGACAGCCAGTAGACAATTTTGACGTGCTCAAATCATTTCCATCCGATTTAATTTATTTAATGAGTCAGATATGAAAAATTGCGCAGGTTTAAACATAAATTTTCCTCGCAGTGCAATAAAAAAATTTTCATGCAGTTAAAAGTTGGCGGTATGAATGAATAAGAGCCACTATAGCTCATTTACATGATATTCTACAATTTTTTTCTTCTATATGTGTGGGAATCTCGCGAATAATTTAAGTTTTTTTAATCTGCTAATCGACATAAAATTGAGCATGTGCTTAAAAAAATAAACAAATCACGAAGAAAATTTAATTATTCTTCAAGAGTCAACACGACTGTGTTATGCATGTTCGCAGATCATTAACAATTTCAGTTACATATTTTATGTCGTCGCAATAAAATTTGGCCAACATTGATATACATACGCATTTGAAACTATAACAAAAAAGTTTATTTTTAGAAAATTGGGGGTTGTACAGGTATGATGGCTAATGATATTGATCAAAGCGGAGGTGATCATTCATATGAGAGTAGTAAGGAGCCCATATTTGGTACAGTCTAATGTGTAATATCTAATAATGATAATGAAGTTGACACTAGCCCAGAAAATCTCAGAAAAGATGACAAAATTAAATTGTCCATGAATCTGAAGGTACCTAAAGTTCCCTAAGGCCTAGACCAAGACCCAGCTCACCTCAAACAATTAATTTGTAGCAGATACGATACAGAATCAGTGTAAAACTAGTGCAAAACAAACTGACACCTTTAATAAACCTCACTTATAAGTAACCTCCAACCATGCAACCAATTACAGATGCTACACAGTAAGTGTCTCAACATTCCTCGAATATTTTTTTGTCAGCTTAAGAAAAACATATAAATCTTCTATTTTTAAATCCGATACATGTTTGTTTTCGTTCTAAATAGCATATGCTCATTTAATAAATATTTTTAGAAGAAATATTCAGAAAATGTTGTTTGTGGAAGAGATTTTCGAGTGGCATCAAATGCGACAATTGTTTATTCAATTTATTACATTTTAAGACAGCAAAAAAACAGGAGTGATTCATTAAAATTAACTTTTTTTAAATTAAATTAATGGGAATGATGCTGTCGTCTGCTTTGAGTAATGCACCACATGATCTGGTCAATTTGATCTTGATGACGAACTTGCCCACTTTTGTAGGGACTGAAGCAATTATTTATTTTTACATAGGAGTAATTAAAAAATTAATATGATAGCATAATTGTGACAATGTTATAGGTTTTATGCTGTTTAATTAATTAGAACGTTGTAATCATCCTTGAATAGAAGACGATAATTACTTTATGGCACCAATGAGCAACAATGTATATAAAGTAAAGTCATTTCTATGTAAGTGAAGAGGAGAAGGAGGAAGAGCTTCAATTAAAGCTAAAGTTTATTTTTAATTAAGCATCAAGATCATACTTCAATGCATCTTCCAAATAGAGTGTCAAGATAAGTCACAATTTCTCAGTCATAAATCAATATTTATTCCACTTTATAATTCTCAAGCAACACTTTTATTAAAATCCCATAAAAATTAATCGAGTGAAAAAATTTTCTCAAACCTACAAGAAATTTCCACAAAATTGACTAATTAAGCATCTCCACAGAGAATCCCACAAAAAAAAACTCATTTTAATCACCCGAAAATGGTTCAAAAGAAAAAGAATTTTCATCGCCTTATAGAAGATTAATTGCATGGCAATAATGCGAAGAAAAATTAGCAGTTGTTTGGTCCGACATCGAGTAAAGAAAATAAAGAACCACGTAATCTAAACAAAAATTAATTTTCTTCAATTCTTCACTTTATCGGCTCCCCATGAAGTCACAGTAAATGAAAGGAAAATTTTCAGCGGGAAACAATTAATTATTTTTTTTTTCTTTTCGTGGTCAAATTTTCTTTAGTCTTAGAGTTTTATGTGTAAATATGTTCGTTATGTAGTGATGAAAATCAATCGATTGAATTTTAATTTGGTGATTTATGGCTTTTAAATTGATTTATTGTAGTGAAAAATTGTAGATTTTATTTTTGTTTGATTTTCTAGTTAATTTTCGATTTCCAACCTTTTCTCCTTGCCATCTCATCCACCGAGATAATCTGGTAAAGGAGCATTTAGTAAAATTTGTGTAGAGACGTAGTTAAGCTCTTCATTAAAAGATCGGATCCCCCCCCCCCCCCCTCCGTCCACTTCTTATGTCTATTTAAACTAAATTATATGGCAAGGAATCTGCTCATAGATGCTTAGTATAATTCAGTAAAACTATAATTCCAAAATTCACGAAACAAGTTTAAACAACTTGAAACTAATCAACCTAAGTACCACCCACTATACAGCTCAAATTCACAGCCATTTAATTAAATTGCTGCCATATTGTCAAAACATTTCAACCATACATATTAAAAATAGCCAACATTTCATTAAGTACATGCTTATTATAATTTTCTCATTTAATTATTTTCTGTAAAATACTAAACAATTAAAGTCTATTTCTCCTTACCATTCTCATTCTCTTTGCCATCATCCACTTGATTCATGCTAGAGAGCAATTCTCGTCGCTCAGCATTTTCCTTTTTATTGAACCGCACCATTCTCAATAATTGCTATGCACGACTATATCATAACTTGTGTAAACTTTTGTTTATTGTAATTTTCTTCTTTATACACAACTTAGTGCCAATAGATTTGGATTTTATGTGTTTTACAATCACTTTCCTGATACCCACACTTTGCTTTCTTCCCTCTCACGTTTTTTTTTTCTTGTTGCTGTTGCAAAATGTCTGGTAATTCTACTTTACAATTTTTAAAGCAATTAACTTTTTGTTCATGAAAATTAAAACCATCAGTTTCTGCCTCTAACAAAACAACATACAGGAAAACAAAAAAAAATGTTTTTAAAAATCACTTCAAATAATTTTTTTTTATTTTCATAAATTTTCGCTTTTATTTTAAAAAGAGATTTTATTTTCTGTGCAGTGAAATGTTTTTGTCGGTGGGAAAATTAAGGAAGATGGATGTTTTGTGTTGATAGGTTTCGAGGTAGGAATGACAGCTGTATACCTGAGACAGGCTAGGAGCTAAGGAATTTTTAACAGTGGTGGACTAGACCCCTAAGCAGCACCTCTCAATTGCTATGTAGCAAATCTATGATTCTGCCCTAAGATGTGCTGAAAACTCATCTCCAAGATTCTTAAAAGAAGCACTTTGATAGAACAGAAATCAAATATTCATAAATCGACCCCCATAAAAACCACCAAGATCATGCATCACTCGGAATTATCGCTTTACAATTTTTTTTCCTCTGTCGTTTTCTTTATTTTGAAAAACCAAAATTGAAATTATTTAAGAAAAATTTTCTTTTCTTTTTCGCGCCCACCCACATGATTCATAGCTGTGAAACTCACACAAAATAATCGAAATAAAATAAAATTCGTGAACATTTTAAATTTCCTATAAAACGTCATCGAAGTAAAACACAAGAAATGTGTAGCGGACCAAAATTATCAGATGCTGTAAAAAGATCTTTAAAGCCGCGTTTTATTTTGTTTAGAAATATCAAAAAAATGTTTGTGAATCATCACCTTGAATTTCCTCCTCTTATATTGAGACATTTCTTAGACTGCTGACGCCGAAAGCGTCAAGGACAGATGGAAAATGATATCGTCCCAGACAATTTCATTATTTACAATGGAAATGGAAGTAAAGAGTTATTGGCTTATCATTATGGATTCTGATACAGTTCTTGATTAGAGCATATTTATGGAAGTTGATTTGAATATTTATCTAGTTTATAAGTTTGTTCTTGAACTAGACACATATTGTTTATTTCTATGAGACATGCCGACATGCTCAATTTATTGATGTTATTTTATTTGGTTCTAAGTATTTTTTTATGCTCTTAAAATAATTTTATTTGTAAATATAAAACTAGGTTTAATTGATAAGGAGATCGTGGTTTGAGAATCGAACCTACAACTTCTTAAAATGTCAAGCTACAGATTTTTTTTGAGTACTTTTGAACTATTTGATTAGATTGTCCTTAGTTTTGGTACTTATAAAATATCTTGGCATAAACTGATACCTTAGCTTCTTCTCTGTATCGAACCTTTAGATTAAGACTTCAAGAAATAATTGAAATAATTAATATAACCAATGTACTCGATTTAAAAGCTGTTAAATCATTCATAAAATTTAAAAGACAGCACCCAACTTCGATTCTTCAACATTAATTCCTTCAACCTGTTTCAAACAATTGAAAACAATAGAAATCATGTATAACGCGCCTCATTAATACTAACATGACTTTCAATTCAATTCATATGAATATCTACAATTATTGAACCAATAGTTCAGCTTTCTAAGATTTAAATTGCAATCGGCAATTCCGTTATTAATATTTTATGACACTTTCTGGATCTCAAATTAATCATCACTTTAAGACTTTTAGTATACAGATCAGATTCTTTCGTTTTATTATTCTTAAACGCTTCCAAAAAACCATTTAAAGACCCAAGACAGACGAAATTTGAACAGAATAGCAAACAACGCGAAACGTGTATTAAGAAAGAACTGAAAGAAAGAGTCAAAAGAAAGATATACAAATAAATATGAAGATAAAGTTTAAAGAAAAATTCGCTTTAAAATGACGTCATGTGTATGTCGCTCATAATGAAATCATTGACTTTAATTATTTTAACTGATTTTTGCTTTTAAATGGATTAATTGTTCACTTATTTATAGGAACAAAAGAGTTAATTGTTGGGGATTGAAAAAATTATTTTAGCATCACTAAAAATCTAATCTGGCTACACATAAAGAAAACTGGAAATCAAGCACGTCCAATGACTCTTTAATACATATGAGTAGGGTCGTTTGTATGTTGCGTCATGCCAATATTTTTTATTTTTAACTCCTATGCTTCTTAACACTATTAGTGAGCTAATTTGAAGCACATCAAGAGAACAAGACTCCCCTCATCGTCATAACATTCACATAACATCCACACAACCCCCCATGAAAAGAATAATTCACAAAGATTCTCTGAAGATTTTTTTTAATATTAAAAACATGTGTTTGATCTTCACTAAACAGAAAGGAGGGAAAATTGACTTCAAGATGCAATTTTGCAGTAACACAAAAAAAAGCCTAGCACTCTCTATCTCCTTCTTCACACACATAAAAATATTTCATCTGCACAATTGTAAATAAATATGAATTAACTGCTTCACACTGCCTTCGATAAAGTCAAATTTTTTTGTATATTTTCTTCAATAGTAAAAAAAATTTCACTTTTCAAAAAAAAAACGACATAAAAAACATTTCATCTAAACACTTCGAACCGCAAAAAAGAACACAAAAAAATTCATAGGAAGAGAAGGAAAAAAAAATTTTGTACCGTGATCGTGTGAGAAGTAAGATTGAAACTGAAAACAACATCATGCACAACTGTGACCAGCGATGGGGGGAAAAGAAGAAAGAAATAAAAATGTTGAAAAAAAAGCTCTCTCGCCTCTCTCTCACGTTGGAGATTCGTAGCCTCTCTCAAATTTTGTTTTTATTACTCTTCGTTGTAGTCAGCATGAGCATAATACATGGACGTATAGCACACAAAAAAAAAGTTGAAATGTTTATTCCTTTTACGATTTTGTCAATCAACAATTTTCATTATGAATAGAACTAATTTGACATTTTTGGGGATTCAAATATAGGAATTGAGTAAAGTTCAATATTGATTACTTTATAGGGTAGACATAGATGATAATGCATGCAATAGAAAAATCGATATAGGCATAATATGAAAATAAAATAGCTTGTAAGCAGTGGTTATGGAAGTCCTTTGTATTTTTATGGCGCATTCGATGTGCTTCTTCCTTCCTGGAAATAATGTTCGATTGGTTCTTTGAATTGAGGACTTAGGGGTCTTATACGTATGATTTCTATCATAAGTTGATATCTAGAACTGCTCAACCTTCTTGTCTTAAAATGTTACACTTCATTTAGACCTCTTTCCTTTCCCATCGCAATTATGGAAGTAATGATCTGCTCAAGAATTGATTTTTTAGGACAGTTTCAAAAAACGACATGCCTTTTTACCAAATATTTAACTTCTTTGTGTTTTAACAACAATCAAGTATTAAAATTGCAACATATAAAGCGCTGAAAGGTTAGACCGAGACTTTAGCACAAGAACACTACATCCTGAGTCATTTGAGCTGCAGACATTCTTACTAAATGCTGTCTATACGCTGTTAAATGCCACAAGCAGCTGTTTTGAATAAAACTCGTCCAGCCATCAAGTCAAACCAAACCAGTAACCACATTTTTCCCTTCAACAATGGAAATCGCGCGAAAACATAAATTTTCTTATTCAATTACTAAGTCAACATAACGAGTCAATTCGAATTTTTCTCTTGTTTTTATTTGAAAAACGTTTGTTGAATCGATAATGCTGTACAATTAATGTGCGATTGCGATAGTTCATGAAATTTTCCACCATATATAAATCGATATTTGTTACTTCATATTTATGGGTTGAATTACTTTAGCAATTTAAATTATTTACTTACCATATCCAGATGAGAATTCCACGTCCACTTCCTGATCGCTTTCATTTTTAGCTTTAACTTTTCGCTTAAAAAGCTTTGGAAATGAGAACTTTGAGACTTTTTCACCCTTCAAGACATTAGAAGGTGACTTTAATTTACTGAAAATATTTGGAAATCTAAACGACTTTGATTTTTGACTTTGTTCATCGGCGCTACTATAATCGACTCTACTTTGTTCTATAATCATTGAAGATAGCCACTAATGTCACTTTAATAAAGTTCTCAGTTCTAATTCTTAAGTTTTAAATTAATTCTTATTTGCATTTTCCTTCCACAACGACCACAAAGGTGAAAGCACGCTATATGACTGAAACGAAAATGTTGTGTCTACGGTAAAGAAATTGTTAAATAAAAATACACTACATCGCTTTATTCCTGTACAATTTTAGAATTTTTCACATCATAATCTATTATTTAAAAAGCCATTAAATTGGTTAGAATGTTCATGTGCTCTTGGTCTATAAAAACTATTATGAGGTCAACGATGTTCTCATTGGAGCGGATTACTTGCTGTTTGATGACTTCTTTGACGTTCTTGTCAGCACCTGTAAATGAGGAATTATTGAGTTAATTAATCTCCTTGAAAAAATGCACTATAAAGTCCCTCACACCCCCCAAAATTCCAACGCCACACTCCACATCCAAAAAGCAATTCTTACCCCTTGTTCCAATTCTTCTTTGTTGACTCGTTGGCGTCACTGCCGATGAGAATAATTTAAGTTTCACTTCAGCACTTCGATGAATATTCATGAACTCCTCAATCATGTCAATATTAATTATGTACGATGTAAATAAGGGGAACTCTAATCCTTTTACTCGAATCACTTCAAAAATATGTTCAATCAGTGGAATATTGTCATAAAACTCTAATTGCAGGAGGACTAACAGACTTCCAAGCTGAAAATCGTCAATTGTTCCTTTCGTTACTGAACTTTCTTTGAAAGCTTTCCTTTTGAGATGATTGATGATTACACGTGTACAATATTGTAAAATTGCGTATCGCGTTAGTGGCAAGAACAATAAACTTCGATCCGGTGTCATATTTTTAAGGTAAGTTCCGTTGACTGTCGGTAAATCTGTGATTATTGATCGAATGTAATCAAATGTTTCGCGTGTAGAATTGACTGTGTTGACGACTAAACTCAATCTTCGTAAATTTTTCTCTAAATTGCTAATTTTACTGCTGTTGATAAGATTAAAGGAATCAGTGTTGCTCCTCAAATAAATCGCAAAATCCACGACTAATCGATTAATGTGCCTCGTGATGTTCAATTCGAATAGAATTTTGTTGAAATCTTGGTAGAACATGACATTCCTTTGTAGTAAATCCTGTGCCTTAAAAGCAGTCAGAAATGATGTCAAAATATCAGGACTGAATGGCGGTTCATGCAAAATGTTCATTAAGGGCGGTGAATTTTCAATTTCAGATAGTCCATCAATCAAAATATATTGAACTTCATGGCCATCGATTTTCACTTTTGTGCTTTCCAAATAGTCTTGTGCGGATATGAAAAATAGGAAGCAACACAAATAGAAAATTTGTTTAGTGTCACATGTTGCGATGCTCTCAATTTGCTTGAGTTTTTGCCAGTAAATGTCTTTTGTCCATGTTGATGGATTATATGCAAATGGTTCCCACTTAAGAAGCTTCCCAATCCACTGAAAGAATTCAAAAAGTTTGATTCTACTCTCTTCAGCTACGTGCTTTTCAGCATTATAGAAATTTGAAATGTAATATTTGAAAACAATTGAAAGGAGTCTGTATAACAGATCAGATGGCACTTCTGAAGGCTCGGTCATCATTAATGGTAAAACTTCTTTAACAAGTAATTCTGTGTACTCAATTGGGGATGTACTGATTCCATTAAGGATTTTTTCAAGGAGTCTTGGTGCATTTATATTAAAATTGCGCGAGAATTTCTTCATAATTCGGATGTACGCAAAATCATTAGAATCATTTGTTTCAGTCAACATCATAACGATCTTTTGACCTGCTGGTCCATTTGAGAAGCACTGAAACATATTGACATAAAAATTGTCTTGTTCATTCAAAGATTCATTCTTGTCAGCTTTCTTTAAAGATTCTACGAGTCTTTTGATCTCAAGAACAATTTCTGAATTTTCAAAACACAAAAGAATATAACTGAAACTTTTTGCTGCATCCACATAATTTCCTGATGCTTTTTGGAGCTGATAATCTGTGTAGAATCTACAGAATAAAGTGGATTAGATATGTTAACCGGCTTTTGAGTATTTGTCTAACTTACACTTCATAATGTTTCGGAAATAATGTCTTAGCTGTGATTATTAGTGCTTTAGATGCTTCCAAATCGGTTTCTTTTAAAGCTAACGCTTTGCTAATTATGTTTTTAACTTCCGTATCCATAATTTCGTTAAATTTAAGTTAAAATGATTCTTATATTAGGACTAAGTTGTCGTTTTGTTTAAAAAGTTTGTCTATTCACTGCTAAAGTTCATTAACAATTTGTGTATTGAGTTTAAATAGTTGATGAATATTTTTAAATAGGAGAATCTTGTTTTTAAAAGAGTTTACGGAAAGTTTTGTTTACAAACAAAGTGAAATTTTGTAGATGGCGTTTCGAGTGTTTTATTTTAAAAAACTTTACAATCGTTAAACTATTTTTTCAATATTTCAGAATTCAAATTTGAACTTTTAAGAATTGTTTAAAAATTTTAAGGCAGCAAATACAATTGCAAAACTCGAATCTTGTCAGAACCAGTGTTGCATTCTAGCGATTTGTCTGGATCAGATAAATTCTGAGACAGAAATTTCTTCATAAAGATCGATTCTATGTGAAGATAGAAAAGCTAATCTACACAAAGATTATATCTACATAAAGATTCGATGTAGATGTCTACAATTCTACATTCTTCTCTGATGTAGACCTGGAAAAAATGTAGAATTGTAGACATCTACATCGAATCTTTATGTAGACAGAATCTTTATGTAGAAATAATCGTTGTGTAGATTAGATTTTCTATCTTCACATAGAATCGATCTTTATGAAGAAAGTTTCTTAGCTAGACGAAAACTATTGAAAAATCTACATTCTTCATCTAGTGTAGACATCTACATTTGCAACACTGCTCAGAACTTTTACAAAAATCTATGAAATATTAGGTTTGTGGTTTATTGAAAGATTAAAAGTAATGTAAAATTCTAACCCATTAAGATAGTTCCTTTATAAGCTTAATATAATATATTGTGACATAAAGAAGATGAACCCAACCAGATAATATTTCCAAATTATAAATCGCTATAAAAGCATGCCTTTCTCATGATTCCTCTCAGTTTATAATTAATTATTCATCCTTCACTATGGAAATAGCTTTCCTGAGTAAAATTTGTCTTCTAATTTTCATTACTTTTGTGAATTGTGAATCTTGTGGACCAATAAAACCCGATGATGTTAATCTGGTGTATTTCAATGACATTGCGGTTAGCGTAAATCTAGCAAATGTCACTAAAATATTCAACCATGAAGCATTTGACTCAGAAAAGGAAACTATCATCTACACTTTTGATTTCTTAGAAAAAATTGACTCAATTAGCAATCAAATCATTGCGGAACCATTTCTGAAAGATAGCGATAGATTTAACTTTTTAATACTTGACTATGGAAACTTTTCTGGTGGAAATTACATTTTTGATGCCGTTCCTAATGCTATCAAAGTAAGTAACAGCTTTTTAAGTGATACAATAGGGATAAAGCAGGACCAAGAAATCGGCAATAGCCATAATCATTAATTTAATTATTCACCAGATCGGCAAACTCTTCGCCAAAACTTTAGTTGATCTACATGAAAATGACTTCATTGACATCAATCATGTAACATTGATTGGATTCTCACTTGGTGCCCATATTATGGGAGAAGTGGGAAGGACAATTCAAGTGATTTCTAATGAAACTTTAAAAATTCCTCACATTGTTGGTTTGGACCCTGCAACTCCTGCTTTTTATCCACTGAATCCATATGTTGTTGCTTTGAACGTTTATGATGGTAATTAATGTGCAAAATTATCCAATTTAATTACTTAATGACTTGATCACTTCAGCTGGGTTTGTACAAATAATTCACACTGATGCTGAGAATTTTGGAATATCAGTTGGAACAGGACATATAGATTTCTGGCCAAATGGTGGTAGTAATCAACCCAACTGCCCTGAATTTGATAAAACAAACATCTTAAAGATTGAAAGTAAATATCAATTTATTAATCCACAAACTCATTCAACACTTATTTATACTATTTTAGACCAATGCAGTCATTTGAGATCCGTTCAATATTTCGCTGAGTCTGTAAATTCTCCGTCAGGATTTAGTGGAATCAAGTGTGACTCGTGGAGAAGCTTTCAGAAAAATATTTGTTCTGGTCATCACGTCTACAATTTGAATTATTTGGGTTTTAATGCAAACACTCAAATTCTTGGAGATTTTTATTTTTACACAAACAGCAAAGCTAATTTTTCAAGAGGACTTGACGGAATCTTCAATTTTTATTCACCCGAATCTGTACGATCTACATGAGTTACCCAATAGTATACCCCAGGACAGTTTATTTTATAAATCTATACTTTTTTAATTTACTGAAATAAAATTGATTTTATCCCAAAAGCTACTTAAGATCTAGATTGAATATCAACTCAGAATTTCTTGACCTAGGCTTATGAAAAAAAAATCTTCATCTTAAGATAATCATAACATATCATATCACAAAGAAGTCACCAAACTGCAAAGTATATTTTTATATTCTTCTCATGACCTACCACAAGTGTTTTCATGTTCTGTATTGACGATGAGAATTTAGCTCATAAATAAGCGATAATGATAGCAAATCACGTGTGAATAATCTGCAATTATTCGCTGGTTGTGACTTAGCGACTTTATTATGGAATTTATTGTCTTTATATATTTATTTTAACTACAAACCACACCCATAATCATTGATTTAAATTCACAGTTATTTCATCACTGTTTTAATAATATTTTCATATAAATCTAGCCCCAAAATAATTTATAGAAAAAGTTTTACAAACAAATTCCATAAACAGCCCCTAAAATATCCATCTTAGTCATCATATCACAATCAATCATAATACTTAAGTCGGCTTAAGTCGTTAATACTTTGCTGCACGTAAATTTTTTTTGAAAAAAAAAAATCTGAATTGTGAATTGAAATTCATAAGCAGTCGCCTTAATTATCACAAAAAAATTATTTTGTTGCGTGCGTACAGAATCAATTTTTATGCTCATAACTTTATTAAAATAATTTTTTCAATGTTTTCATTTCATTCAAGAACTTTATCTCGTTTTTTTTTGGGGGGGGGGGGGGGGTGGAATTATTTTTATGGCACATCAGTAGCATAGGCAGGGGGAGGAGGGGGAGGTTGCATGGGTAGAAATTAATCTCAACATTCTCAAAAACAAAATAGCTGCTAGTTTTTCAGCCTGCCCACCCCCCCCCCCCCCCCCTCCCCTTTAGTTTCTGGCTCTGTCACTGTAGCACACCAAAAATTGTTGAAAAAATATTTTTTGGTGTGATAACGTGAGACGAATAAATTTTTATTGCATCGTTCACGTGAATTAATTTTGTTGGACGTGATTATGTTGAGATTTGATAAAAATACATGAGTGGATTATAATGTTGACGGTGGTTTATGAGTTCAAGCAACTTTTTCAAGCTCGATGAATAAAGTTTTTGAAAATATTTTGTTGGAGCTGTTTTTATGACTTTTGAGCATGAAGTTTGTTGACAGCTGAGTTATTAGAACTGAGGAGGTCATTTGGGGTGGAGTTTGGGTAAAGTTGTGTCTCATTTTCGTTAGTTTTAGCCTTTTCTTCTCGTTTAAGTTTCGTACGTAACTTATGAATAGCTCAGAATCTCAAATTAACCTTCCAGAATTAGACCAATCTATTCTAAAACCACACCCAATAAATCCATGCATCATTTTATTAACTTTAATTTCTTATCATGTACCAAAGTCCTGAACCAATAAATATTATATCCTCAATTATAAATCTTCATGCGGAAATTGGAACAATAAAAAATTGAAATAAATTTTTCACTTCATTTTTTTATTGTTAATATTTTTTATTCAACGATTCTTATCCATTTAGCACTTCCTCGTATGAATTTATTTTCTGTATTACATGCAGTAAAATGAAAAATTTCCACCATTCTTTATTATCCTTCATCCTTATTCATCGTGTGACTGGACTTGAATGCAGTTTTATGCTGGAAAATTTTTATTGTAACAAAAAGTTGTTTAAAGGATGCAATAAAATTAATTACTTGTGTGATGAGGTTCCTCAATGAGATGTGGGTTGGGGAATGTCCGAAAAAAATTGGAACTTAAAACCTAGTTTGAATTAGGTATTCTTCATAAAATTCGTTCTTGTTTTTCAAAAGATATCTAATCAGGCAATTTTTAAAAGAATTCTTCTTTATCTCTACAACCTCCTTCCTTTTCATCTGCTACGCAAACCAACAAAACAAAAGACTCAGGTGAGAACCTAACAAACCGTTAAATTAAACATCCAATAAAATATTGAGTGAGGAAAAAATAACACAAAAGAAGAAATTGCAATAGACAAAAAAAGGAACAAAAAACATTGTGAATGAAATTGAGAATAATGATAATGATAATGGGATGCAATAAAAAAAGAGTACAAAAAAAGTGATGAGAATGTAGGTCGATAGCTGTGTGAGCCAATTGATACAAGTTTTGCAGTTATTATATCAGTCAATTATGAGTGGATTGAGAGTCCTTTTGTGAGTAAATTATAGCTCGTGTTATTATCTCTTTATTATGATGAAGGTTGAGAGCTTTTTTTGCATCAGCTTGTTATCAATTGGATTGATTTAAAGCAGTGTTGTTCAAGCTTTTTTGTGCAACGGCACACTTGGTTTTAAGCCATTTCCAAAACCTCACACAGCTTACTGTTCGTGGGATATTACAATTGTTTACGATATACTAGTGTGCCACGACACACGGGTTGCCCATCACTGTTTTAAAGCTAAAGACTAGATTTTTAAGTTGCATTAGTTTGAAATTTATGCATTAAAATATGAAATCAGAAAAAATCATTTAAATTGTTTAGCAATAACATTAAATTTTGCAGTTTATGCACAAATTAACATCCTCACATAAGCAGATTTGGTCCCTTACAATTGCCGTAATTATGAACATACTTAGTAAGATGCAACAATGTCAAATCATTCGATAAATGAGCCACAAAATATTTATTACAAATGCTGATGACATCAAGCATTGACAATGCCATTTGCTGATGTAAAATTCTTACACAATAATTATCTTTCGAAATATTTGAATGCAAAATTTGTGTTGTATTAATTTTGTCGCATTAACTTGAGTTATTTGAGCATATTTCTAAGTTTTGAGAAGCGAAGTTCTTCCTTCAGACCTAATATGTTGTGTAATGGACTTATTTTTCATATTCTTTTATTTTCAACTTGTTGATGTGATTCTCAATTGCCGCTCATAATTTTTGTGGGACTTTTATGATGTTTAAGTTTATTTCTGTAACAAGATTTATGACATTAGCATGTGTTTGAACAATTAGCGAAAGTGTTTACAAAAGTAATTAGCTTGTGTGTTTTGTTAATATGTTTCTTTTTGGTGTACAGAAGTCAAACAAGAGGAATTCAAGGCTATAATTTTTGAAATTCGAAGATTAATACTTGAGTAATTGTAATGAATCTCAAAATTTTTGATTTTAATGATAACGGGTCGAACAAGGAGGAGGGGTTGTTGATCTCGCTATAACTGCTGATGTGTATACTAATGTTAAACAAGTCGAATTCGATGGGAATCGAACCCAAGACCTCAAAAGAGGCGAACTCTACCGATAAAACAGCGATAGCACTTTAATATGCACATGTTCAATCACGACTTACGTTTATAAATGTTGTGTGGTCAGCAACTGCGCAGTACAACTTAAACTCGCTTGAAATTGCCCAAAGAAAGTCATTAAGAATACTTTTTTTAAACAAAACCTGGTTCTGCAGCAGATCAGAATTGTATAGTATAAAAATTCTTCCAGTCACTACTCTATGTCAAAGGAGTATATGCATTCATGTCTTTAAAATTACGTCGAACATGCTTAAAAATAGTGTCAATATTCAAACTGCTAATGAAAGACACAACTATCGAACAAGACAGAGAGAAAATTATGTCATTCCAGCTACTCGTACCCAGTTAGGTAGTCAAACGTTCTACATTAGAGGGCTAGTATTGTACAATTCTCTCGAGCAGACAGTTAAGAACAAATTTTCAAATAGTTTATTTTAATCTAGAGTTAAAAAATATTTCTATAAGACATATTGTGATGCTAATAACAATTTGGCTACTAACAAATAAAATGAAATACAAACCAAAAAAAAAACTCTGACCACTCGATCAGAGATCCTTGCCACTCGGCCATCGAGGTACTTATCTCACTTCGGCTATCCGTCATACACATATAACCAGTTACATCGCGAGCCCTATGCTCAGGCTTATCTCCTACTCTTCGAGCAAAATCTACAGAGGTTTGAAAAAAAGCAATAAGAATTTGTTAATTTAATTTTAATTCAGAATTCAGTTTTGATTTATTTTTTATAGGCATAGAAAAGGTTAAGGCTATGAAGAAAACTTAAAATACATAAAATTTTATTCACACACGTGTAGATTCTCATGAATAATGACGTTATGGCTTCTAAAATAAACAGTGAAATTTGTATTCTAAGAAAGAAGATTGTTCTTAAACTTAGTCAATCTTAAAAGTAAGCAAATCAAAATTTCAATATATTCGCTTTCAATTTCATTTAGATCACACAAGGATGCAAAGTTCCATTGGTAAATTGTCTCACTTTCCAAAAATTACGAAGCTAGTTGACTAGAAATCGATAAGATCCATTAAAAGCTTGTCATTCTCACAATTCTTTAGACATAAATGAATCGAATGTTACATAAAACAATGACATTTTACCAGAATAACTGCAATTAAAACATCTGCTCCATTCACATATCTACAAACTATGTCTTCTCAATTCAAATCTTCACTGGATTACTATCATAAAGTCTTAAAACATAAAAAAATTCATTAAAATTTCCCATCATGTTTACATCATTCTACTGCATTCAATGTTTATTTCTATGGAATCTCAGACATGTCGGTTGAGCAGAAATTTCATTATATTGAAGACAATCTTGTTATTACGAGTAATAATTACTCAATTATTTGATGGAAATAAGATGAAATTTTTAACATAGGCATTAGAATTATTCATGTTGATGTTGAGAATGTTGATGAAAAATTTACAATTTAATTTAAACTTCTTGTTCTTGTTAATATCTTGAGAAAATAATTTTTTGGAAAATAAACAAGTTTTAAATGAGATTTGCTTGCTTTCATAGGAACTGAAATGTGAGAATGCAAAACAAAGCTATGATTTTAAAGTTCTGGAAACAATTTTGCATATTAAATTTAAATTAATTTATGTGTTATTAATATTTCGTTTTTAATTCCAAATTAGTTCATTGTGCATCCTTTCGGAAAATTTGAGCTTCTTAAAAGTTAATGGAAATAGGGATGAATTTGTGGCAAGGCGTGGTAATTTTGAACAGAAGTGTCTTCAGATGTTCCTTGTTGAGAGCACTTTCAAGTTTTACAAACAAAATTCTAGCCATGCCTTTGTTTAAGATGTTCGACGTCATAAAAGGAAAAAAAGTTCAACATCACAAAAGCTCAATATCAAAACCATCATCCACCCACTCACACAAAAACATTTTATTTCTGTCAAAAACGACAAGCACCCAAGGTCGAAGATAACAAGAACATTAATTTTTTAAGGAAAGCTTTGATGTTCCGAACAAAATAAAAGATGAGAATTTCTTCGAATAAAGCTTTCCATAAAGTATCAAGTATAAGGATATCCAAAACATGAGCGGCTACGATTAAAGTTCAAGGCATCATTCGAAAGGCTAAACATTTTTGGTACCAGAAATTTGATATTTTAAAAAGGGTGTAACAAGATAAAAATAAAGTTTGGTTTTTAAGAGTTTGACTTTGGTGTCAGGTTCTATATTGAAACCTTGAACGCACTCCCACGAGAGTATTGAGATGAAGGGTTGTTAAAGTCAAAACCTAAGACTAGCGCCTTATATCAAAGAAGAATTGAATTTCCCAAAAGGGGTTTCAAAGGAACGAAACTAATTCATAACTTTATTATCATTTTGATAAGTTCCGCATCCTTGGTCCCAGTTTCATTTTAGAAAATAAAATTACGTAACGGAATAAAAAGATGGTTCCTCAGAATCTGTGGATGATAATGAATTAATAAAAAAAAATCCCTAAAATATCAAAAAAATTTAAAAAGCAATGCTTTACTCACTTGGTGGTAAGTCATGACCAAAACCGCACACAGCATACAGTTCGTAGTACAACCCAATTTTTTTGGGTGGCACACGCTTTGGTCATCACTGCTTTATAGTTGCATAATCTTACAGAATCCTGAACATCTTCAATCCTAACCACAAAATGAAGACAGCATCACAATAAATTTCATCCCATCCAAAATTTATTTAATTATATCACAAACATCTTCCTTAATATCATAATAATAATAATAATCATCGTCATCATAATAAAATCTCAATAAATTTCCTCAACATTTATTTGCATGTTACCAAATGTTATTCCTTACACTCATTCACTCATCTCAACTTCATGTTATTCTCTCATTTAAAATTATACTTACAATGACATAGCATAAAAATACGATTTTGTATTCATGGAACATCGTTATTTGGATTTATTTTCAATTATGTTCTTCCGACAAATAATAGGAAAAATGTAATATGTCTCGAGATGAAAAACTTTTTAAAGGCACAAATGGATGAATGAAATTTAATTTTTCTTCTGTTCTATTTCTTTTTTATGTTTGCTGTTCGGTCAGTAAAAAAATTTGAGAAAGTCATTATTTTTTATGTTTATATTTACAAGCTTTTGGGAGGAAAGGGATGTGTGGGATTAAAGTTCTGGTTGTTTTAAAGTAAATAAGAGATTTTGTATTTGTTAAGAGAACTTTTGGGATTTTTGGGAAGATTATGATGCAAAATAGAAATGGGAATTTAATAATGTGGATTTTGAGTATTTTTGGTGTATCAGAAACTGAAGTTTCTTCCTTAATTCACATATGATGAGTGTGTTCTTACGATGGCCGTAAAAAACGGGATATTTTTAGACCATCTTCCCCAATGCCATACCAATTTTCAATTAAAATGACAAGCATCATAATTAAATGACCCATCACAGGTGGGATATAGACATTCGCCCAATGGACACTTTCACACGGATACTTCCCCACTCCTAAATACAAACTGAAAGTTCAGTGAAAAGTTCAATTTTTTCAATTTTTTTTTTATTTGTTTGTTTTCTTCGTTTACATTTTAACATTTTAAACAAAATTAAATCTTCTTATTTAATGACTTGACAAATATTCTTCTCAGAGTTGTATTGAAAAAGTAAACAAAAAAACAATCAATTAAATTAAAATAAAAATGAGGAAGTTGGAAACAAAAAGGGAAAGGAAAACTGTTGGACAAATCAATTAAATAACCAATTATTTTCACTAATTAATTAATTAACGTACTTCTTTTTGTTGACTGAAACAATTTTTTACTTCCTTTTCTCACTTTCACTATCCTCAGTTGGTGATGTGTCTTTGCTTTGATAGATGTAATTATCACGACCGGGTATACCTGTACCTTCTGAATCACCTAACCATGGAAATTTGTTTGGACAATCACGACATGTTTCCATATAACGCGTATCGGTTATATTTCCTGATTTGTATGCCAATGCACACTTGTTGCCAATATAGCATGGACGTTGTGTTTGTGATGATTGTTTACGGCAATCCCATGCGTCGAACGTGGTCAACTCTTTGTTACGTTTTGGGTCGGTTATCCACTGCAATGCTTGTGTTGTTGTTACAAACCAAACGTCAGGTCTAAAAGTTTTATTTTGTGTTGGAAAAAAAAGAGAAAAGAAGCGTTTTAGTCCGATGAGAAGTTGTCAATAATATATGAGTTGAATAGATTAGTTCATGATATTGGGCGAGTTTTTCGTAAAAAGTAAGTTTTCAATACTTTCAGAATTAGGGTTTTCAATCCCAAGATTAAAATGTACTGAAACCCGGGTTTGATCCCGGAATTACATAAGTTTTAATCCCAGAATTAAAACTTATTAATAAAATTTTGAAATTGCCGCCATTTTGGTTTTTTTTCGTCCCACCTCGAAAAGTTTTTCGTCTATTATTTGCTTATTTTAGCATTTCGTGATGATTTATTCATTCAAACTTGTTTAAAAAAGTTGCAGAGTTCAAAAATTGAATATTTAAACATCAATAAATTAATAACTTTCACCATAAACACGTTTTTCAAATTAATTTTAAACTAAAGTTCTAATTCTTCTATACTTACAATGATGTAGCCCAGCTAATGAACTTGTGAAGTCCCTGCTCAAGTTCTTTAATTTGGAACCAATTTGTGTGGAATGCCATCATGTATGGTGCTTTATTTTGCTCATAATAACGTGAGAAATCTTCTTGCAACCATTCGAGAACCTCATCAGGATCGTGATTGTGGAGAACACATTGATCGAGATATGGACATATTCCACCTTCATACGATTCAACAAAGTGACTATTCATTGGCACCTGAAACAAAAGAAAAATATTCGGTGAATTGAGGATTTTAAAATTCAACTAAAATCTTTATCATTTTCTCACCTCCCAAACACCGGGGAATGTTTTCGTTGGACACGTTCCACTTTTGCATTCATGAGGAATTTTATAATCGAGTGTATATGGCCATGACGGAATTTTGTTTGGTGGAACAACAATAGATGAATCATAGATAAAACCGAAATCCTCAATCACTTTGTATTGCGTATTTCGTCCGGGCTTTAAGAATGGTGCACGCATTCCATTGATTTCAGAATTTGACACATTTGCAAAGTGACGAAGAATTTCTCTCATACCAATCATTTCACCGACCCATTCCTCATATCCTTTATCCTGCAATCCCTGTTGTGAACTGATTGTTTCGACAGCTATTTCATTTCCAGTGAATGAAAGGTTTTGAATTTGCAAATAGTTGCTGCAGATAAAATAAAATGAAATGATTTTTTTTATCGTCACTTCGTGAATTTTATCCATTCACAATTGTTTTAAGCCATACCTATACTCATGACTAATGAAAAATGTTCCCTTAATGGGGCATCCATTTGGATTTGAGTATTTTCCACCTAGCACTTTCATATAATGATCATAATTATTGTGATTGACGGCACCGTCGAATGTGAGGAGAATCATTTGGGGGATCTGTGATGGTAAGAAAATAGAATATTTGTTAAATTGAATTTAGATTAGAAATCATGATTTGAAATTTTAACGAACTTTTAAAATTCAAATTCCAAATTGAGCAAGCATTTTTGTCTCACTTGAAAAAGTTTTTTGGGCTTATTCAGTAAATTACCGCTTATTAATTAGTATTTTTTGACTAATCGTGTAGAAAAAAGTGGCAGGGATTCAATTAAACTATAAAGTTCTATTTTACATCTTTAAATAAGGGATAATACTTCATAAACATAAAAATCAAGGCATGGACACGATATTTCATGCGGAATAAACAGATTTTTCATCAAGTGTCGTTGCATTGTCTGAAAACCATTAATTATCACCACAAAATTAAAAATCACATTAAAATTAGTATCAAAACAGTCAAAACTTATCTCATTTTCCTGATTTTCCTCTGTCAATATCATCATTAGTTATTTAATTCTGTGTTGAAAAATTATTCTTTCAGGCGAATGCAGATGCGAGATAATAATAATTAAAATTCATTGAGACTTTCACATTTAGCATAAAATTGAAACTTTTCTCGTCTTTCTCTCTCTCTCTCTTCCCGCATTTATCAACATGGATATGAAAATCACCGATGGGCTAATTAAAAACTTTAATCCTAATTATGATTGTTAGTACACACTATTCCTATCTTTTTCCACTGATTAAAAGAAAAAGTCAGACTCTGTTGCCCCGGAGTCGTTGCAAAAATTGCATACAGAAAACTTTTTTACCCATTTTATCTTTTTTTCAACAAATAATAATGAAAAACTTTTTTTGTGAAGTTTTCGTAAAGATCAAGCAAGTTTTGTTTGATACCTTGAGGTTATCGGAAAGTTTTGTTCAGTCTCGCTTCCATTGTCTAGTTTATAGCATCTCAGATTATGGTCTAGTTATTTTGAGAATCTTAAATAAATTTTATTAGCTATGATTTTCAATAAAATTGAGATTTATGCTTGATATTGATTATTTTAACAAGGAATTCGTTTTTGGAAGGTCCTTGCTACTTTTTTCTGACAAATAAACTGTTTTTGTTATCTTAAAAATGCTTAAATATTGTTTTATTGAATTTTTAAAACTCGAAGTGAATAAAATTTTGATGAATCAAAGCCACGTGTTAAAATTTGAATTTTTAAAAGCCGCTAAAATTCGCTTCATCTCTAGCTGTTGTCAAATCATTCAAACTTGACACAAAAGCAAAAAGAAAACTATTCATTAAGCATTTCATCCTTGTATTTGCATGTATACAAGCTTTTCATGAACAATGCAACATAATATTTGCAATGACATAAAACTTACTTCTTCGGCACTAAGATCCTTTGGAATATTGGCACCATCTTTGCTACAAAAACAATATGGCAACTCACATTCTGCTGGATCACATCGCTGTGCATTGTCTATTGGTGCTTCTGTTACTGGTGATGCAGCTAAAAATACATCATTAACATAGTTATTACTTTTTCTGAATATTTTATCTACCACAAAAATAAAAAATATGCTTACTTATCGGAATTGGACCGCATCGTGCTTCATCTTTGAATGTGCAGAATTTTTGAATATCATCAAAATAAAGGCCTGATGGGCATCTATTTAAATATGGATAGCCATCAACGCACTGAAAGTAGATAATACTAAAGGTTAGTTGAAATATGATGCTGAATATTTATGAGCCTATCAAAATGTTAAATCTATTTAAGTGCATTGTGTAATAGAAAAAAAAAATATTGAGGTAAGAGGATTAAATGTTGTTTAATTAATTAAAATCTTTTGACGGAAAGTAAAGTTTGAAAAGTGAAAATTCGGCTATGCTAAGGCATTTATGACTCTGCATAATTACTAGAAATTGCAAAATTACTCACCTGATAAAATCGCCTACATGTGACGGGATCAGCAAAATTTCCATTACCAACATTTGTTGGACACTCATACTCTTCCTTCTCTTTGTCTTTTGATTGTGCTGAAAGATTTGGATATAAAATTAACTTATCGAGAGTTCAAGAAAAAGTAAGTTCAAGTTTCGTGATTAAATGACATCAAATTTCGAGGTATGTAGGAACTTTATTCATCCTGAGGGTCATTAAAAATGAAGTCTGTCCAAAAATTGATTTTTTGAAGTGTCACTTAGCAGTTCCAATTGACCTTACTCTTCCCTAAGTGACCATCAGTTAATGAACCCCATTAGTACCCCCAAAAGTATATTTCCAGTAACATTCTCAAGTCTAAAATTCAACAAATATCTAAATGAACACATTCACATTTAAATTTTGTGTTTAAAGGCTCCAAATTATTATTTTTTATCTAAATGCATTTTGGCATTGTGAATTTTTAGTGACATGCGACTAGACTATGAGAAGAGAATGAAACGTGATAAAAAAAAGCCCATAAAACGACGCCTCAATGTCATCATGAATCTCATACACTTATCACATCCTATAAACTAAAAAAAAGTCATTTTGTATTTTTTTCGAATGAAACTGCTAGAATAGGAATTGCAGTTGCTTTTTGGGTGGCTGACAATTGATACAATAGAATATCCTTAATATTTGAGCTAGTAACTTGACTTTAATTACTTTCTGAATCTCTCATGGAAACGAAACCCTAATTTTGCGTCCCATACATCCATTTCCTTAATGACTTTACAATTTTCTAGCACACTATCCCCAACTGCATTTCAATATTATGCGGTTGTTCTTTTCTCATTCGTTGACTCGCGCTTATGCACATGCCGTACATTTTAAAATTTACCATGCAATGTTTCAAGACAATTTAAAATGAAAATAATATTATTTTGTTTTTTTTTCGTAGTCAGAACGAATGGCGAATGAGATAAGTCGAAATGTATGTTAATCTTGTAGCATATGTGAATGTAAGCAGCATTAAAAATGAGTATGAAAATATGTAGAGAATTTGCATTAAAGTAAATTGCAATTATTGCTACCTTATTGTGACACATTCTTGAATAATAATTTGTGAGACAGCATGTGAATTTTATATGAGGACGGAATTTTTAAGGAGGAATATTGTTGCTGAATTTATGATAATTTTGGTGAAATTGTTGTGGTTGTGCATGTGAGGTTTTGAGAATGAGAATTCTTGGTGGTAATAATAATAATTTTTTGGAGTTCCTTTTATGCTGTTTTATGGTTATTTGAGCGCATGCATATGATTTTACACTTGTAAATTTTGGGTAAGCATTCAAACTTGAAAGGGGTCGTTCATAAATAATGTCAACAGAATTTTAGGATTATGTCACGAAATTTTGATGCAAACAACGTTAATCATATGAAAGGACCACACAGCGACAGACCTCCTTAAAATTTAGACATCATTTATAATCCAACCCTAATAAAAATACAGGCTGATCACTGTTAGTGATTCCTTTAACTTTCTACATTCACCTTTATATAACAACCAAGAAGAAATAATAATTATCGGCATTATTAATAGACATTCGGAAGTGAGTTTATGTGAACATTAAGAAACAATTTTGGCATGACCATCAATAACACAGTTCTATTGTCAAAATCGTTCAAGTTGGACGAAAAAATTTCTTTTTGCTGTCTCCAAAAAGCAAACACACTATTATGAAAGCAGTCTGTGAATCAAGGTAAGGTAATGTGGAAATACATTTTAATGTCATGAACACGACAAAGTATGTCATGTTGAAATCATCATAGTCGACAGCATGAAGAAGACATAAATGATTTAACGGATTAAACAGAATGCGACAATTAAAATCGTTCAACACGCGACAACCGTATATCCGCACAATGGAATATACTGCTGCTTTAGTCGATGGAAGTAGACAACATTCAATAATAATAATTATGATGATGATGCTATTTATTATAATGGCTGGGTGGAGAGAAGAAATGGCAACGGCAGCTACGGAAAGAGCCATTTATGTCATTTTATTCTCTCACTGGCTTTATTTTTATTAAAAAACATTTAAAATTAAAAACTTTTCACTTTTCTTTCATTTTTAAATTACAGTGTGAAGCACATCAGTTGAGTGATTTTGAATGTGAGATTAATGTGTGTGGGCTAGAAAGGAATTGTTGAGTAGGATGATCCTTAATGGAAATTTATTTAGAATTACTTAATTGAAATGGAATTTTTGACAGATTCTAATTTACAAATTAAAAGGAAAATTCTTAAAAAGTCTTTGAAAATTTATATTAAATGACAATTCATGAATCTGCAAGCTTTTAAGGCGACAATGTGTTATTTGAATTTGAAAAATTGAATTTACAAATAAAATTAAGCATTAAGTAATGAAAACAATTTAATTTTAAATAAGTTGCAAAATTTGAATATAAGAACCGGTCTACAGTCTATTAAAATGATTTATAACCGATAAGATTGAATAAACACGCTCATAACCGATTCAACTGGTCAAAAACAAATTAAACCGTTTCTTTTGCAATTAAGTCAACTCTTCTTTACCGATTCAACAGGTTCATAACCGATTTAATAGATGTAAACCTGATTCAATAGGTTCATAACCGATTAAATCGATTCCACGTTGATCAAATCAATAAATGTTCCTTAAATAAACAAAATCAACTTAAAACACTCAACATCTTGCCACAAAACAGTCCCAATCTCATAATAACCTTAAATAACAGCTCTACTGATTTTTTAATAATAATTTTTATCCATTTAGCATGTTGGTTATTAGATATCGGGGCAACTCGAGCAGATGATATCAATTTCACTTTCAATATTTGCTCGTCTCGACAAGTTGCTGCAACAAATTGCTTATTTGTTGTTAAAGTAACGAAAATGAAAAGTGAGTAGGGAGTAAATTGAGTTTGAATCAGTCGATGGATTATTTTACTATGTTTGTATTTCACACAGCATTCAATTAATTTTATTTTATCTTTCGAGACTGGAATAGAGTTAAAGATTTGCGAATTCGTGGCATGCAGAAGAGAGAAAAAAATTTAAAATTTAAATTGGGTAACAGAACAGAAGAGCAAAAACAAAAACAGTACAGCACACAACTTGCTCTATGGCTTTCGTGTTGTCGACCGAGAACCCGTTACTATTCGATTATGCAAATTTTATTCTTATTGTGTGAATTCTTTTTCACTTTTTATTTTCCATGAGATTAGATAATTCTGGTGATTAGTATGTCTGCGACTGGATGGTTGGGATATTTAAATATTTTTGCTATTAAATAATATCGAGTTTGCTTTACGGATTGGACCGACTGACATATTTAGTGTGATATGAACTTAATGGATAGAATATTAAACATTCGACTATTGCTTAGAGCTTCTGAGGAACAGTAAACCTTAAATCTTGCCATTCTTGCAGAGCTCATCAACCTTTTATTCTCGATATTGATTCGTGTGAATTTAAATTGAATTTATTTAAATTAATGATATAATCTTATAAACTTTTAAATTCTTTATGTCTATTCTGTACTTCCCCCTCCCATCATGCAATGTAGAATGTGTGAAATTAATTCAATTCTGTTCTGACATTTTCATTTATTTATGCTTTATGCATATATGTATTCATTGTGATGATAGCAGAGGAAAATTATGGCATGTCTCTGTAATTAGCTAATGAAAATACATGCAGTTTTGGTTTTATGAACGACAAAAGCAGTTATGTGAAAGAATAAGTGTAACATGAGACCATGGGAGATGTTTTTCTCGTAATGCTGCGGTACTTTAACATTGTAAATGCAATTAGAACCGTTGGATATGTGGTGAGTTTGTAGTTTAGCAAAATAATTGATTGCCACAACTTACATTCTATTATTAGTAGCTATAAAGTATCAATTTACGTATTGTGAGAATATTGCTTTTTAGTCTTGTTCCTGGCTAATGTTTTGAGACTGTAAATAACTTCCAGGTGCCAATTTTTTCGCAATGCCATTTGAAAATGCACAAATTACTCACAATTTTCATTGTCAAATGACTTTTACTTTTACTTTATAATGAACAGGTTTATTGTCTTTTCGGTGAATTATTAGTTTCAAGGTGGATTTCACTTTGTAAGGAAAGAATGTGAACCCGTTGGAAATGCTTTTGCGAAATTTGGAGTCATTCACTTATGACGTTCATCAAAAAATGGAATTCCTTTGGACCCATGGTACGCCAACGAGTCCTTATTTTCGATATTGAATTTTTTTTTGGTACCTTATTTTCGAGCATTAGTTCAAATTTTTTTTACACGTTAAATTAATAATGTCTAATCTCTTTAATTAATGGTTTAAATATTTGTTTTTCATCATCAAAATGCTAAATAAATCCACTCAACTGTAATGAATCTTTACTTATTTATTAAATAATTAATGCAAGTGAATTAATGACATTTTAATTTTCAATGTAAACAACAACAAAAAATTTAAAATATTTTTGAAAACAATCATATTAAACTAATGTTTGCTGCATTTATCATCGATTAAACGATTATATGAGTGTTAAAAGACATAGTTGAAGGATTCAATTCTTAAATAATAAGTGAATTGAGTCAAAAATTGCGAAAAGTTAAAATTTTCATAAAAAATATTATTTTCGAAATTGCGAAATTTTGTTCGAAATACATTCGAAACAAGTTTAAACTTATTTCGAATCAACGTTGACATCGTCTCTTGGCATATCATAGCTTTGGACTTTCTCCTTCTACATGCAATGATGAACCAGATTATTCCTTGCTCACTTCGCTGGACGTACAGATCAATTGTGATCCATGGCCTCCCTTAAATGGCACCTGAAGCTGTCTACCGTTTGCCAATTACCCATACCAAATGATGAACCAGATTCAGCTGATATAAATGAACCTCAAGAATTAAAATATATTGAAACTGACAAAATTATGCAAAGGATATAAAAATCCACTAAAATATCTGACAGCCAAAAAAAATTCTAAATCTCTTCCTGTTGAAACAACTTCACGAAAATTCCTGTTATCAACACTCTCGTTTATATTTGACCTATTCTTTCTACGAAATCTACTCATCTTAATTTAAATATTTAATATTATTCTGTCTCATCTTGATGCCTTTTCACATTAACTTCAACAATTTTTTTGTCTACATTCCACATCGTCCACATTTTTTTTATGTGTTCCCCCAGTAAAAATTCCTTATCTAGACCTTGTAAAAAATGCTTCTGGTGATTTTAAAAATTCGCAAGAAACCGCTTTAATCCCCAACCCGTCTCGTGTCATTAAAAAATTATATTTTCTTTAAATGTCACACGCGCAAAAGTGGTTAAACCTGCACCTTGAAAAAAAAGCAGAGAGATATGTTGCTATGACAATTCAGACTTTATGTGGTCATTATTACAAAACTGTTTATGCATATTCACTGTCTCTCGCATAATATGCAATCACTTAAGCTATCATTTACATTTATCCATATCATACATTTGTAGTCTTTTCACTTTTTTTTTCGTGTGTGTGTGCATGTGATGTGTGTACAGCAACAGCAAAAAACATTACAAATCTTCGAAAGTGCTTTATGAAAAAAAAAAAAGAAATGTAGGAAAGGAAGGCAGTCAAGTGGGAAATGCCAATATGTGAAATGGCAAAAAGCCGGTTTGCATCGCACGACAAGTTTTCTCATCGACACACACTTGAACCGCACTAAAAAGAAGACTTTTGGTGAACAAATTGAATATTAATATCCTAATTAAAATGGTAAGTCGTTCCTGCTCAAGAACCGTTCCATTGTTCCGTAATTAATTGAATTTCTTTCTTGCCTATGCTACAAAACTTCAATTTTCCGTTCATAAACTTAATGGGGAAGTAAGGAAGGAGGGAAGGCAAAAAGGTTTTTTATTCGGAAAAGGCGAAGAAAAAATTAATTAAGGAAAGAGCTTCCCAATTGATGCCAACCGGTCTCTTTTTCGCCTGCATTCCACTTTATAAATACATATACTTAACACAGATATAAAAAACTATAAATGAAATGACAACGAATGCTTGCATAACTTATGCCACAAGATTTGAGATTAAATGGAAAATAAGCAGAAGCTTGGTGTGGATTAATTTGTGAAATATGGGTGCATATTTATACTTAATGATGATCATATGACCTTGAACAAATTAGCTAATTGCATCAGTCTTGACTTGAGCTTCTTGAGGAATCTCATTTTGTCTTAAGTTTTGTAAATGAATTGGTCAATAAAAGAATTATTGAAGTATTTTGTTATGACTTTAAGATGGATGTCTAGAATTCATCTCGTGAGTTATCATTGAACAAACTTATCAGTCCCTGGATGGGAATCGAACCAACCATGTCATTGACTATTGACTACACTGACTAGAGTCAAACAATACCAGCTAGTGTGCAGCCGCAAAACTTAAATACACAGTAATCACTGCTTAAATCTCTTTAACATCAACTCAAACCACTCAGACATCCAAAAGCCATAAATCATCACACCTCTTTCCAAGAAACTGTGCTAAAAAGCACACAAAATCTCAAAAATATTATGCGAAGCTGTGTTTTTGTTTTCACTTTCATGTGAGTTGTAAATTTCGATTTCCAGTTAACTTCATTTCATCTTCTTCTCACTCAATTTGTAGGCTGATTCCAGTTTCATTTTGTTTTTGTTCGTAACATTTTAACAGCATGTTGTGGTCATCTCTGGGTGTCATTCAGTATCGATTATGTAATCACTTAAAACGTTTCAACGATTAATGTGTCTTATTGGTGAATTAAAATAATTATTTAATCCATTCTCATCGGAATGAATAAAAAATCGCATCTCAATTATTATCGAATGCATTTAAAAAAATGTTGTGGATTAACAGAAAGTTTAATCAACCAGGAAATGAGATTTTTTTGTTTGGTTGGTGCGGCAACATGCTTATTGACTTCCAGAAACATTAAAAATGCGGCTCGAGGGTCGGATTAATTAATTATTATAACTTCACACAATTTTTTTGCCAGCCACAACTTTTTTGTTTTGCTTCACAAAAATTAAAGAAGAAGCCGCTCAAAATTGATTTTAATTTTTAATTTCTTTTTATGATACAAAACGGATGCAAAATATAAACTTTCGATTTTTTTAAAAAAAAAATAGAAAATAAATAAATAAATGCTGTATTAGGGGCACTAGGATGGATAACTGTATTATGTGTTGGATTATTTAATATGTGAGTAAACAAGAATTTTTGTTGACTTGTTGTCAGTCGATTATTGAATAATATTAAAGGTGTTATTACGAAACTTTATTGTAGTTGGTTAAGTTGCGAAGATGTTGACATGCAATTTTTATTTAAATGAAAATTGAAGGCATTTAGTGTATCTGATTAATGAGTGTTTAAAGTATAATAAAACTTAAAGGCTTCAGATAAGAGGCTAAAAGAAGATTTTAGGTTAATTTTGAATTTTTTCCGCAAAAATATTTTTAAAAAAATTCTTAGAGGGTTTTGACTCAAAGTAGATCTAAAAACAGACCTCTGATTCTTTGACACAGTCCCAGTCACCTTTAAGAAATTCTTTTCTAGCTCTTTTAATATTAAAATATTAGCTACAATCATCAAAAGCTAATCTATAGAATCTGAAACGTCCTCAATCATTTTTCCACATTATAATATTAAAAATTTGACTTTTTTTCGTGCACGTAAAATTCTTCATTCATTTCATGAATTCGAGGAAATGAAAAACAATTAAATTAAATTGGAGAAATAAAGATTTTTCAAACACCATTGACCATTATTGACAGATTTTTATTCCACCTCGAATTTATTTTTGATGCAAATTTCATTTAATTTTTATGTCATAGATTGACACACAATATCTAGCAGTTGAAATTTAAAATTGGAGCAGAATGTAAAGTGAAATTTTTTAAAAATCAATTTTTAAATTTGTTGAATTTTTCAAAAAATAACGATTTTTTAAGAATCATTCAAGATAATTCACAAATCATTTTTTAAAGCACTTCTGAAACTTTATAAAAATCCAAAAAAAATTCCAAACTTCACAATAATCAAATCCAATCTTAATTCATAAGAATATTCCAGCAAATTTGTCTCTTTTTATCACTCGAATTTTAATTGTCATTTCAAAACACAAAAATGAAAATTGTTCAAAATAAAAATAAAAAAAGATTTACCGGAAATTGATGCGATGGCAAGTGCAAACACAATAAATTTACAATGAAATTTATTCATTGTTCCAATGTTCTTTCCAATTCAATATAAAAACTTGCTACAAGATAGCACAAAAAAATATATTTGTTCTCAAAAAAGCTAGCTTCGCGAGCAAAGCTTTTGTGATCGAATGAAAAAGTTTTTCCACTTCTTTTTTTTTGTTCCTTTTTCGCTATTTTGGAACCGATATCTTGTAAGAAAATAAAACACTTTTTTTTTGCCCGATATTTTTAAGTCACGTCACATTTGCTACACGTTCAACAGCAGACTGAATTGACTTGATATGCTTATTTTTTTTCAACAAAAATATAAAAATATACAGTTTAAAGTCGGTAGCTGCCAGAAGAGAGGCATGAAAACTTGAAATGTTAATATTTTTTTTTTCTTTCTTTCTTCGTTCATATGGAGCTGCTTAAATGGCTGTGAAAGAGGGGAAATGGAAAGAAAAAGAAAAAGAAGAAGTTAAAGACAAAGTTATTTGTATTATTAGCTATTGTCAATAGTTTAAGTTTTCAATATGGATATAATGTTGACGCACACACATGCATACATAAATAAATTTATTCAATATGAATAAGTTTTTCTTTTCGTTGCTTTAAATGCTGTTAAAAGCATTTTCCTCTCGTCTCATGCTCATTAATCGTCTGGGTTGGTGAGCATGTTGTGGGATTTGGTATTTGGAACTTGAGACTGTTATGATCTGAATTTAAGGGGAATTGTTTGGGTTTCTTGGAAGACGTGCTCATAAAGGGATGCACTCAAAGTTTAATCATTAACCCTGCTACCTTAGATACCTAAGACCAGTGATGTCCAACCGATGTGCCATGACACACTACTGTGCCGCGAAGAAAATCAGAAAATTTCACGAACCGCATGACATGTGCGGTTCACCACCATGGCACAAAAAAGGTTGTACAACACTGCCTTAGCCCATAACTCACTTACCTTGATCTATTTGAACCAACTATATAGTACATTCCCTAAGATAAACTCTAGTGTAGCAACCAATAAGGTATTGTTGTAAAGGTTAACCATGGCTCAACCAAAAGATGTCCCAAGTATCACATGGCAAGTTCCTGTTGCAACTCATGAGCAACACAACGACCCCGGGGATACTTAAACCAAATGACATCATCAAACAGTTCACAACATAAGCCAATAACAACATCAAGTCCTAATAATCCCCATCACCAATCTCCAACCCTATAATCTCACAAACTTTCAACATTCATAAGGAACAAGATTCTTCTTGCATTCCTCTAAATCGCTTACAACTTCATGCAGAATAAGAAGAAGTAGTAAAACTTTATTTCATCTCCTCTTTCCTCGTGTGGACTCTAATTTAATGTTGCATCAAGTACTTCAAAGCAATTGACTTCGAAAGAAAAAAACTAACAGCATAAAGAAGTAAGAAGTAAGAAGAAGGCAAAAACGTACACATTAAATGAGAGAGGAAGAAAACTAACTTTTTCCTTCTTATTTTCTTATTGTGTGCTTATTGTACATAAGCATAACACTGTAGGTATGTCGTGTATATATTTATATCGACTAAAAATTGCATTGGAATTCTTCATTCACATTTCTGCTAGTGTGATTTTATTGTGGCTGTATAGAGAAACTTTTTTCCATGTTTCTTGCTTTTTGTGTGGCTTTTTTTGTGCTGTACTCCGACATTCATCTTAGTTTATATCCAAGGTTCAAGTTTGTGTGCGGTGTCAATCTTTCTCCGTTTCAAAATTGGCAATATCATGAAATTGAAACTTGTTGTTTGTGGCTTCTCTCTCTTGGAATGGTTGAGGTTGAGCATTTTAGGGAGGAGAAGAATGTTTTCTTTTAGCCGGAAGGAATAAAGCATTTAAGAAATGATATGACATGACGGAGAACAGAAAATCAATTTATCAAAATGCCGATGGGAGAAATTGGCAATAACTTATTTTTTTGCATATGATGTTTTGGAGATTTTAAAATGAAAGTTGCTGGATTTTTGGTTGGATATGAAAGTGTTTGAGGATTTTCTATGGTTATTTAGAAGCAAGAAAAGTCAGATATACTTGAATTTGTAATGTGACTTGAGTTCGAATCTCAATATTCCATGATGATCTTTAATAATTTGATTTATTTTTTTTTTGGCTTAATAAGTTTGATCCACTTGAACAAAAAGTTTCGCGACTGATTTTGCAAACTATGATAATATTTATAAAATTGATTGTTGTTATGGACATCTATTGATGTTCGCTAAGTCACTACCCTGAATGCATTAAGTACCATGAGAAAAAATATCCAGTCAAATGCTCCCAGGGAAATAATCAGCGAATCCTCCCAAATCCTCTACCATCGCTCTCTTTTAATGCATGTATATAGAGTCAAAACACGATAGTTATAAACATACATAATCCACAATAAATTCCCAAACCAGCGAAAAAAGCAAAACTGCTTTCTGATTTATGCATAAAACGTGGAATAATTGAATGTATGATGAAGGTTATGAGGGTGTAAAATGAGAAATGTGCATCGATAAAGAAGACCGCGGCAATGTGTGTTAGCTACAAGCAAAACACTTGACGATAATGCATCCGATAAATCATTGAAATGAGACATGATAGAATAGAAAAGATCTCTTAAAGATATAACAAATCGTTGATGCTACAATCTGCATGATTCATTCAACTGTCGCTATCTTTGCTACATTGCTTCGCATCATAAACAGCGCGCAGAGAGCAAAAAACTTGCGATGGGAACTTAGTGTGAGAAGTAGCAAGCAGCTATGGTACATGGGTTTAAATTTAGTAAGATGCTAGCAAACCCTTGCATTTCTCGTACTATATAAGCATAGTGGAAGCTTAAAAATATTAAGATTACCCGCAAAAGTACCTATCTCCTGCACAACAAAAATATATCAAGAAGTTTACAAAACGGCACACAACATAACCATGAACGACCATCTTTTATCGTCATAAATTCAATTGAACGTGTTCACAAGTTAGTGGAAGAGCGGGGAAAAAATGGAAGCAACTAAGTAAATTATAATAAAAATGATAAAATGATGATGAAGAATGAATGCAGAGGATTGAGGCTAGGATGGCGGGAGAGCTATAAAAATAAGGGAGAGAATTTTAAGCACGAAGCTATTAGTAATTTGTCTGAGAGAGATTTAAAATCGATTATTGAAGGAAAAGTAGTAATTACTCATAATTATGGGATGAGATGGATATACTTAATCATGTATTTGAGTCTGGGTATATTTTTGAAATTTAATGAATGTTTTTTGGCATTCACAGAAGATGCCTGTTGAAGGTTTTGGTGCTTTTGATCTTAGATTCGAACCCATGATGCTTTCCTAAGGGGTCGTTCACTTATGACGTCCGAAAATAACGGTCATTTTTCAAAATAAAACAATGGATTTCATGAATTTCTATCGTTTTTTTTTCTTGTCGAACCCCCCTTTCCCCGGCAACATAAGTGAACGGCCCCTAAGTAGTTTTCAGATTCTAAAAGACTCTACAAATAAGTTTCATAACCTAGTCTACCAGCAAAGTCCCCAAAAATCTTCAGTGAACGATTTCATCATCATGGAAAGAAAGCCACAAGCTCAAATGAGATTTCGCAATAAACTTTCCATTTTAACACAAACAACAAGTTCTTTGCCCTTGTCTACAAGTCGAAAATATTTGAGTCGATTGACAAATGTAGACCCAAAAAGTATTCACATAGGAAAAGTGTTCCTCGTCTTATTGTCTTCTCAAAATCTTCACGCTCTTCGTGTTAATAAAGTCAATGTTTACATGCTAACAACATTGACACATACGAGAAGAGAGAAAGACTGAAAAAAATCAGTAAAGAAGGTTATTTGCTTTCATCGGTCGTCGATCTTTTTTTTTACACTTTGTTTCTTTTTCTCCTCTCTTCAATATTTAATGTAGAAAAATTGACAAAAGAGAGCGAGAGGTGGAGACAAAAAAAATAAAAGTAAATCAACATAGCATGCTGCACGTTCATTAAGTTTGAATAAACACAAAAAGCACCCACATGAATGCTGCTTGTTATGTTTACGTGATGTAATGTAAATAAGTTTTTTTATGGAGTCACTTTAAAGTGAAGTATTGTGAATGGTGAGACAGGATAAGGATTTGGGAGTTGTGGTTGACGAGATTGCTGATCAAGTGTAGGATTTACTATTATGACTATAATTAGGCTGATTAGTATAATAAGAACCTCCCTATGTGCACCTGTGATCACAAAAAATCACCAACTGTTAATATAGTCATCACTCTGCAGAATAAAAAATTAATTTTCATATTTTGGAACAATATTGATTGAAGACAATCTCCATTGACAGACAGAAGCATCTCCATAAATTCTGATATGATGACAATTTTTTATAATTTAAGAGCTGATAATTTTGTGATAAAATATGTTGATTGATATTGTTTCAGGAGAGATATTCATCATTAAAATGTATATTTTGTAGGCTTGAAGTTTCATAGAATCTTATCTGTTGTCGAGAAGATATTCTCTTATATGTGAAGCTGTAGGTTCGATTCCTAACCTTAACCTAATTCCTTTATAATCATTTACAATGTGTCAAATATATAAAAATCTATGCTCTCCACAAAAGTAGCAAGTCTGGAATGTCAAAAACTTCACAACATTTTCAAATCAAACCCCAAACTTATCAAACTTATTAAAATTCATTTGGCAATAAAAACCAATATTTCCAATTCATTTATGCGGAAAAATATTTATTATCATCGTTTGGAAAAATAAAATCCACAGTAACAAAAATGTTTAAACTCATAAAATCTGCGAATGTCTGCAGAATCTCCGAAAAAAATCGACATTTTTTTTCCCATGCAAAATCAAATCAATTGAATAATATCGAAAAGAATTGGACATTTATTCATGAATGTCAACTAATGAATTAAATTGGATGTAATGAAATTTTTTAAGGAGTCACACATGCTCATGCTAATGCTCTAGTCGATGTCATTGACATTGACACCTATGATAAGAATAACTAATGAGCTGCAAACTCAACAAAATGACGACAATGTGCAGTTCTTGTCATACCTCATCATAAACTTACTCACAAATACACACAAAATATTTGCAATAAAAGTAGAAAGGGCTGAATAAAAGAAATGCAAAAAAATATAAATATAAAAAATTCTACTCATGTTAAACACGTCGATGAAATTATGGTTGACATGCAATGCACCAGCAATGTTATTTTTTAAGTGTGAGAGAATGCAAAAAAAAAATC